TAATACAAAGCTAATGTCTTCCATTTATTCCAGGAAAATGTGAAGCACCAAACAGCCATTTTATAACTTATCTGTATTTTAAAAGGTCGAACCCTCTTTGCACTTCTCGCTGAATCCATCTTTGATTGAAGTGTTTTTAAAGCTCAAACTATCTGCATCTCAGTCAGGTCTAATGTTTACTCCCAGCCTTCCCTGCCCTGCAAAAACCTCTCCAGACTGAACACTGGCCTTCTTTGTGTGCCACTCACCACTTTCTACTTCAGATGACTAGTTTATTCCACAATTGCTGGAATGACTGTTTCACTCACAGGAGACGTTTGACTGGCATGAAATGCAGTCAGTGCAATTTGATGGAGACGGTGTCGCTCAGACAGCTTGTCTTGAATCCTGGGGCCCTGTTGGATTTGATTTGAATGAAGACGCAATTAAAAAGGCACAGATTCGCAGGTCGATGGCTGTGTTTTGGTAGTTGTGTGAGTCAAACCAAGTCATCTGTTCAAGTCGCTTTCAGCTTCGATCTCTGTCCCTCAGAAATCAAATAATGTACACAGATTTGGCAAACACATCTAAATAAAATTTAAAAAAAATACATGTTTCTAAATGTTAAGTTCAGGAAATATAACTGGGTTACTTGACAGTTTCTTTGTTGTCATCTGTCAATGGTAAAAACGTTACAACTGTATATTGCAAAGTAAAGGCCCCTCACAGCAAAGACTATAGTCTGAGCCCTGGGAGTACATTAGCTTAATTAAATATGCCTGAACCATTTGTTTACTAATCATCTGCTTCCCTGAGAAATCACAATGGCGATTTAGACCACTTTAGCTTCCTCCGTCAAACACATTCGGCAGGTGCAGAGTGCTGAGCATAAAATCCCATGAGGAGCTAAACTCGCACCCCCTGTGAAAGTAAATGCTTTGAAAGACACTGTTGTTGTTGCTGTGAATCGCTGTTGAAAGACCAAAAGAAGGTCTGTTACCTTTTACATTATTCAAATGAATGTGTACCTTTGTCTGTGTCTCAAAGTGGATGATTCAGCTGGGAGTGAATTTTGACAGTGCACACACACACTCAAACACATGAGTCGAAACGCATCACTACTAATCACCCTCAGTGATGTTTGTTCTTTGTTATGATGTACCCCACACGGCTCTACATATTGTCAGATAGGGATAATGCCAATTTAGTTTATCCCTAAACCCTGCTGAGATCTTAATTGATGATTTGTGTCATTGGACAAGCAGCCCGGGGGCATATTTGGTGCTGCAAAATACTCTGACAGTATTTGCATATTCCCATTCCTACTATATGGGTAAATTACATGATGAGGTGTGATGCTGTGCATTCCTGCAGCTTTTGGGGGGATAATCACTAATAAAGTGATTCAGTCACACTAAATGAAGGAAGTAAACAGAGCGAGGAGAGCATATGTTACAAACCAATTTAAGCATTTATGTATGGCCATAAAGCAATTGAGGAAATTAAACCACGAGCAAATGTCTTGTCATTTCCTTCGCCTTTGCCTCTAATTCCACCCTGCATGATGCCAAAGAAACCAATACATCACTTCTGAGAAGAACAGATTTTTTTTTTTAATGTCTTGAAAGGCTAATAGGCCTTACGTTGCAAGATTCCTTTTCTTAGCAATCAGATTGTGAGTTGTCTAATTTGTTTTTGAGGGCCCCGCTTTCTTAAATCAGGCAGGAAAAAGAGAGAGGATGTTCAGAATTATTCATAAGGCTTCAGTCTACTGGGTATCCTCAGCGGAGTGCATCTAGGTCCTGTTCCGGGCCTGTGGGCAATGTGATGTAGGCTAGTTTTCTCATGTTCAATAGAGCGGCAATCCTTAAGACAATTGTGTTGTGCTGCATGTTTTGGCCATGTCTGGGCCCTCACAGGTCATGCCCACTAAGCCCGCTTGATCCCTATTGCTCTCAAGAGGAGACAGAGGCCTGTTTATACCGTCAGACGCTCAGCTTAAGGACAGCCCTTGCATGCTTACCCTTGCTCATTCCGCAGCCAGTGCTGCGTTGGCATGGCTCTAAGTAAGCCACCAGGGAGCAGGGTCGGAGAGAGATGGATTGGCTTGATTTATGCTCCAAGAGGAGCAGCAGGCAAATTTAATGATCCTCCATACTGTCAACATCACGAAGCGTTGTTTCGGGAAGGACATAGAGATGTCATGAAAATACATGCAGTGCAGGACTGTGAAATTGTTATTGAGTTTGAAAACTGCAGTCATGTTATTGTGTTATACTTTGGCATTAATGCTGAACACCAGTAGAACATTGTAAAATACATTTCCCCAGTTTCAGACAGATCTTACACCTCACACCTTAAAAGAGCCAAAAATGATCAAAACAAATTGGTTTTCAGTGACTAATTTCAGATTATTTGTTATTATCTATTGTGGTTCCATTCTTTTTTTCCAAAGCTCTACCCTAACAAAACACATTTTGTACAGGAAATAAATGATTAGAATCAGAATTAGGATAGGTTCAGTGCTTTCTTAATGGGGTTATACTATTTTAAAAGTTGGGACAAATCACGTGTTGTGTATCTTTAGTACACAACAACACATTGTCTTGATATGGCTTTTCTCTCTACATGTCATCAACATATTCTGCTAAAACGTAGGCGTTACTTAGCTACATATAAGAAAAGTCCATATTAGCCTTCAGTATGTGGTTCAGTGATTGATTGGGCTGAGCACATTTGAATCAATTGGGCCTGCAGACAGCCAAATAAACTTTTAGAAATGCTCTCCTCCACACAATAATATGTGATGTGTGCTTGAACAGTGAACGCCACAGCATGGAAGAAGTCACACAAAGGCTTTAGTCATTAGGTAATGATTTTAGCATCAGTACTCTGATTGCATTCCTTTTTTCAGACAGAGGAAATGAAAACCCAGCGGGGACACATTCCATAAACTAAGTCAAAGTCATGGCATAGAATGGAGGACTCCAATACGGCTTAGGTCTGTCACCAGCAGGATGCACACATACTGTAGACAGAGTGTTTACTGTGAGTGAAATTTCAAAGATTTGTAAGAAGTAGGCTATTTCCACTCTGTAATGTCTCCAGTATTCATAATGTTAGTATGAATAGCTTTTGATGTCATTATTTTTGCAGTAAAAACAATTAAAACATATTATTTTTAGACATCAGTGGTTATTATTCAAGGATCAAGCACAAAATCAAATTAGCAACAGCTTATTATATATTCTGCATTTAAAGACCTTTAACAAGACTCTGAACCTCATTGTGCCTTTGGTTCTTATCTCTGGTGGAATGTAGATAATCCTAATAAATGAGTAGAGCTTCACACGGAGAAATATGAAGCCTGCCAGTAAATCCTGAATTTATTATATTTGAGTGTCCTGGTAACAGCTGAGCTGGGTGAGGTTCAAAATATTTGATTTGAATTCAACAGCAGATCATAGCAGAGAAAATCCCACCAAGCACTGTGTGGCTGCATATTTGTGCTTCCCTTGAAAATGAATAAATGCATGGGCCAAAATGGTGTCACTACTGTTGAAAATCTCCCCCAGCGTAATACTCTTTAAAACTTAGTTCTGAGTGAAATGTCATGAATGCTGGTTTTCCATGCTAATAGCATCGACTTAACAGCACGCAATAATGTATTCATACAATAAAGATGGCTATAGTGGCATTCACTTTCCCTTGCCAAATGCAAATATAATTTTGCAGATTGCAGCTTGAAGTCTTTAGCAAAATTGCTATTGTTCTAATAGTATGACTTTTTTTATTAAACTTAAACTTCAGTCTTTTCATACTGCAGGTTCAGTT